CCTTGTGCCCAGAGTGTTGGCCCTTTCCAGGTCCTGTCTTGATGGGCCGAGGGCTGCCGAGGGCCATTGACGAGCAAAGGGAGTGACCAACCTGCAGCACACTCCAATCAGCGGAGGAAGCAGGGCCTGCAGCTTGCGGGCCCTTTGCAGGAAGAGGATGCTCAGGGTCTCTGTTCCCTTTTTGTCTTTGTTTTGCCTTTTCTCCCATTGCCCCTGCTTTGGGACTGGGGATCATACCAAGGGCCTTTGCACTGAGTGTAAACCCAACACTTTCCAAACTGTCTTATTTTGAGATAGGGTCTTTCTTACAAGTTGCTAAGTTGCCCAGGCTGGGCTCACACATGCAGTCCTGCCTCACCTGAGTGTTGCCACACCCGGCTGGGTCTCTGGTTTCCTGGGGCTGGGCATTCTCCATCCTGGAAAAGGGGTCTCAGTGAAGCTCCCCCCAACCCTGACCAGTGCACCCCGTTGCACAGTTTTTAGGGAAGTTTGGACCAGGGAGGTGAAATCCCTGGGAGGCCGTGAATTAGGAAGCGAGTGGTGGCCCCTGGAGGACAAGGAGCAGGTGGTTATTATGGAGGCTGGTGTTTTGTCAGGAGCCCTTTCACGGTTGGAGAAGGGTCGATTTCACAGGCTTGTGCTGAATGAAAGAGGACTTTTCCTTAGTCCTCCTGAGGTCTCATTTCATCTCCTCCAGCCGGTTGGTTGCATTTTGGTGACCACAGCAGTCCCTTGGTCCACTCCATTGGATGTGGTGGAGGTAGACGCCGCCAGTGTAATGAACCACCGAGTGGTTCCCTTCCCTCCCACCTCCCTCCGGCAGAGAATGTCTCGCTCCTGCATACTGTGGGTTGTGGAAATAATCATTAGAGCTCTGTAAGAATACCCACGGAGCTTTTGAGCCTACCATTGAGTTTTTAAAGTCAACTCCAGAGACGATTTTTTCCACCTCCAGTGAAACAAATACTGAAAGATACAATGTTCCTCTCCGTAGTTAACTGAGACACATTTTCCAGTGACTCTTAACCCTTTGCAAGGACAAAGAAAAACGGAAACAGTTGAAACTAACAATCGCTAAAAGGTCCCAAACCTAGCCCCAGAAGTTCGCAGGGCCTCCTGCCCAGTGTGTGAACTGCTGGGGAGGAGTTGCTATTTTCTAGTCCTGGGCCAGTCCCCAGGGCTGCAGAGGTTCCCAAGCCTGAGTGCTGCCTAAGCTTCCAGCACTGGGCCTTGGCGGCCCTGGTCCACCAGCTCTGCCATCAGGCTATGGAGGCCCTCGGAGATGCATAAGGAACCGTGGGCTGCCTGGGGTCCTTGGGAAATCTGCTCGGTAACCAAGCATGGACACCTCTCAAGCCGACATTCTGCTTCTTGCCTTCATCAGCACGGGCCTTTTCTGGTAGCACCTCAGGGTCATGTTTTAGGAACATTAATTTTTTAGACTTTGCTGTGATACAGAGTTGTCTTTGGCTCCTTCGGAATTTTCGGGGCTCTTTTAAAACTTTTAGGCTTAGGACCAGGGATTTAGCTCAGTGATTCCGCTGCCTGCCTGGCAAGCACAAGTTTCGATCCCCAGTACCCCCCCCAAAAAAAAAAACTATCTAAGGCTTTTGGAATTCTTGTAGTGCGAGGAAACGGCAGCATCATGCTAAGTTGCTAAATTGCCCAGCCTGGACTCAAACTTGGGATCCTCCTGCCTCATATTTTATATGTGGCCCAGGGCCAGGCATTTCGAACCCAGGGGGCCACGGGTGAGAACACTACTAATGTATTCCACTGCAACAACATAACACATGGGTCTGTGCTCTAATTGGTGAATGTACATTTTCTGTTTTATACATAGTGGCTTCTTGTAAACATTTTTGTTTCTTCAGGGATCTCTCTAGAGTCTGCAGTAGCTGGAAGTGAAGTTACCCAGCTGTGGGCTATTGCCCCTCAAACTAGCTATTACTTCATTTGTCTCCAAGGTGGACCCAGCAATCTGCACTCCCCCTTGGTCCATGAGATCTGCCTGTGCATCCTTGCCAACAGCCTTCATTTAAGATCTTATTAAATGTGGTCAATCTGATGCACAGGAAGTGCCCTTCATTACCAGTGATGGTTCATTTTCCTTCACGATTTTATTGACCATTTGCCTTTGCTGTCATGTGAATTGTATGACTGCATCCTTTGTCCATTTTTCTTTTGAGTTGTCTTTGCTTTGCAGTTATAAGAATTCTTCACATATACTGGCTATGACACCTTTTGGTTATAGGCATTAAAACCAGTCCATGACTTGGTCTTCAAACATATATTTTAAAATATACACAGATACAGTTTGTATGGATCCATATGTAAACTTGTGCGCAAATGACTTTTTTCCTTGGGAAACTGAGTTTGCTGGTCCAAAGCTAGGAGAAGTCAGCAGGGATAATTCAGCTCAGCCTTTCCACTAGCATGTTTACATAAGCTTTCCACCACACATCTTGGAGCAATTAGCATGTCTTTCCAGGGCTGTCCTTTTGAGTGAGCTGATTGTAACTGATTCTTTGACTCTGTAGATGTGACCCACAAGGTCCCAGGGAAGCTGAAGGCCACTGTGGTAAGATGCTAATGGGAAGAAGGGTTTACAGGGCTGCCCTGGGCAAAAAACAAATGTGATGTGTGGTTTTGGGTTTCCCCATTTTGGTTTTGGCTGAATTCAGACTTGGGTTTCAACTTGATCAAGTCGAGCCATTCTTTGGCCCACAGTGATTTACATAATTAAATCTTCCATTTTCAGGCCAGACTACTGTTGTTTGACTTTACAGTGGTCCATTTATCCACTAAACTGAGAGGTCTGGCTTCCTTCATCACTCTACTGTCTCTGACTTTTCAAATCAGACTTTCTAGGTTGAACAGTTTCTAAAATTCCTCATTCTCTTAAAGAGGAAATCGTTCTCTCCGAGCTTCTAATCTTACTCTTCTCCTAGTCACCAGAATCTCTAGCCTCTCTACACTCAGTAGATACAAGGGATGATCAAAAAATATAATGAGAATGGTGTATGCTTAAATGAAAACATTTATTGCAATAAAATTAATCTCCCTCAAACATTCCCCTTTGCTTCAAATATACTTATTCCATCGTTCTTGCCACTTTTTGAAGCAGTTCTGGAAATCTTCTTTCATGTCTCTGCAAGGTGTGATAAAAAAAATACAGTGAATGCAGCTGCCAAGTGCCATCCAGTAAAAAAAGCAGGCTCATAAAAACGATATGGTGTGTCCTCATCCACCTTATTCACCAAATCTGGTATTATGTAACTTCTGGCTTTTCTGAGAGCAAAAAGACCATTAAAGGTAAATGTTTTGAATCAGTGCAGCACATAGAGTCAGCTGCAACAGTGCAAGTAAAGAGCCTCGTGAAAGAGACTTTCCAGAGCTTCTTCAGAGGGCGGCAAGAACAGTGGGATGAGTATATTCAGAGTAAGGGGAATATTTTGAGTAGGATCAATGGCAATGTGTCTTTTAATCTGATACTTTAAAAAAATGTAAACATTAAATGTATTTTTCGTCACACCTCTAGTATGGTCCCATGAGGTTTACCGGGTCCTTGTAGCTGGGAGTTCTCTATGTGTCTCAGTAATAGCTCAGTGAAACCTATAAGTAGGCAGATTATAGCCTTCACCTTGCTTTTGTGAGGGCCACTGAGAGATGCTGGAGCTGACCTGCCCCTGACCCCTGAGAGTTGAGCCTGACATCCACTCCGTGTTGGTCTCACCACACTGTACATATCTTATCTGATGCTGAAGTTAAGTAGCAGGATCGGTGTTCTGGGCCTGCTACTGGCAAAGTCCTACAGGACCAGTGCTTAGCGTAGAAGGGCACAGTTTGATGCTCTGCACTTGTTCAAGGCTCAGAGTGGTGAAATAATTTGGTCCAGATTGCACAGTGAATAAGCAGGAGAGCTGGAATTGATTGAAAATGAGCATTGTTTGAATTGTACTGCGAGGAATGGGGAAGGGAGGTAAACTGTGCTGTGGAAATGCCGTTTTTCTGCAGATTTGTCTCTGTGTTAGGTAGTTTTGTGTTGATCTGACACTGGCCAGCTTCCACCCTTGTCCTTGAGGGCAGGACTTAGATCTATTACTTCTTTTAAAGTCCCTGAAAGACCAAAGAACAAGGGATTTCATGGTGCCTCATGGAGGAATTGCTCAGGAAATGATCAGTGACTACTGGGTTCATGGGATCTTTTTGGTTGCAAAGAACAAATTGAGACCACTGAGTTTACATCGGTAAGTCATAAAGGATAAATAAGGAAGCTGGGTGCAGTGGCACACGTCTGTAATCCTAGCTATACTCAGGAGTCAGAGGCAGGAGGTTCACAAGTTCAAGGCCAGCCTAGGTAACTTAGCAATTTAGCGAGACCCAGTCTCAGAAAATAAAAAGTGTCAGGGGTGCTGCTCAGTGGCACAGTGCTTGCCTGACATGTACAAAGCCCTAGGCTTAATCTTTGGTACTGTCAAAAAACATTTTTAAAGAATAATTGAAGAACTAGCAAGCTGGTCTATAGTGAGAGATAGCTCTAGGGCCTGAGCATCTGATCCCTTCCTTGGTGGCAGACGTTCATACACTGCTACTCATTTACCTCAGGTCTTGCCTTGTGTCCTCCGTGTCATCAACCCTTCCAGTCTTGGTTCTCCAGGATAGAGTCAGTATGATTCAGATTCTGCCCCAGACGTGGTAGAGGCTGCAGACCAGTCCACCGGGTGACCATGTGAGGTGAGGCAGTCACCTCTGGCTGTGCTGATGGGATTGCAGGGCACCGCCATGGCCAACTGGGGGAAGAGGCACTAGACGGGAGGCAGTCAGTCTTGTCCTGTCCAGGTCATTGGCTGGCTCGTCTCCCAGGATGGACTCAGACTGTGCATTTTAGAGGCTGAACCTGTTGCTTCTTGAGCAGGACGTACCTGCTGGAGGAGGTTCTGGCTACCTGGGAGACTCAACTGGCTTCTCCAGTGACCTGCTCTGTTTCACCTTCACAGCAGGAAACCCCCTGCTCTGCTCCACCGCTCGCTACCACTGCAGGAACGGCCTCTGCATCGATAAGAGCTTCCTGTGCGATGGGCAGAATAACTGCCAGGACAACAGCGATGAAGAGGGCTGCGAAAGTTCTCAAGGTAGGAGCCAGTCAAGCTCGGAAACATAATCGCAACCCAACAGGGCAGACGCAGGAAGGAAAAGACAGCACCGACACCCTCCGAGAGACAAGGCAGCTGTGGTCTTTGTGTGTTTGACCTTGCAGCCCTTGTTGCATGGTCTTAAAGCTCCTGTGTCTTTGGTGTTCCTCATACAGTAAATGCCGTATGTAAGTTTCCTTTGCAGAACGGCAGTGGGCCCCAGCTGTGTCTCACACTGTCTTGTTGCTCTCCTGTGGTTTTTTGAGTCATGACATTGTTGGGGGCCATCCAAGTCGTTGTTTCTTTGTATTAAATTACTTCTTTGGGATAAATTCTGCCCAGTGGGATGCCTGCACCAGGTCCTGGCTACATTTCACCATACAGCTGTTTGAAAAAAAAATTTTTGTTTTTAAGTTTGTATTTCGGCTGGCAATCTGTGCCGG